CGTGGACCCCCCGGCTTTGTGTCTGTCGGTCTCGGCGTGTTTTGTCCCGGTTCAGGCTCCTCTAAAAAAACGGCAGGGAGGAACGGGAGGCGGACACCAGCCCCTCGCTCCACCTCCTTGACAGGGGTTTTCCTCCTTCTCCTCCCCTTTCTCCCTCCGGCTCTCCGCAGCCCTTTCTCCTCCCTCTTCCCTCCCTCTCTCCTCCCGGGTCTCCGGGTTTCTCTCGAGTGTCACGTTACTGCCTCTGCCTGGGGAGGGGCGGGGGGCGCGGCGATGAATCGCAACAAGGAAGAAAGTTTCTGGGTGTTTTTTTCCTCCCCCCTTTCTCAACAATCTGGCCTCAGTTCCTGCGCCACCAGCGACCTCTTGGGGGCCCCGCTGACTTCCCTCTCGTAAACAGTCACGGGCAGGAAGGAGCACGACTTCTTTTACCATATAGACATATATATATATTTTCATTTCGGTAACTCGATTCACCTTCTGTTCATCCCGAGCTGTTCGCCAAAGGCCGACAAAAGGTACTAGGATATAGATTCAAGGCTTTGCTGACATGATGACAGAGCAAGCGGTGTAAATTAGAATTCAACACGCCCCATAGCGCCAGGCTCGTCGCCCCGACTCCTGGAAGAGAAACACAGCTTTCTTCTCGCTCGCCCTCGCCCCACAGCTAACTGCTCATCGACGGTAGTGACCAGAGAGACAGGATGGGGGTGGAGAGGGGGAGGGGATACAGAGCAGACCCAGGGAGGTGATATGCCGCTAGCAGATACGAAGGGGAAAGAGCCCTTACACACCCACTTCATCTCTGCCTCCCTTCCGTCCAAGGGAAGCTCCCGGACCTGAAAGGCTACGTCAAATACAGATCCGCTGATGGGGATGGGAGATGCACCGACAGGGCTGCTCTCATCAGCCAGTCTTTCAGTAAGATTAATTTATTGCCATATAGAGAAGCTGTACCACCTGAGGCTTAAGCGACTTGCCGCAAGGTCACAGAGCTACTAGGTTGGGAGCCGCACGGACCCGTTTGATCCCCAAGCCCACTATACTAACCACTGCACAGTCGTCACCCAGCCAGGGCCCTTTTCCTCATAACTTGCATGGTGACTGAAGGATAAGATATAACTCATTTAGCCCAGGCCACACCAAGAACACGAAACCTCAATTTCTGGTGCCTGTTGTCTCTGGCTCCCTACACTCTCCACGGTACACTCTGAGTAACTGACAACCCCATTAAAGGAAGAACCAGGAATCAGGGGCTGCCATCATCTTATCACTGTGTTCCTGAAAACCTTTATAAAGTTGGGTAGCTAAAAAATTTTTCTATGGGAAATTAGGGAATAGAATCTTGAGACCAAGAATTTAGAATTTATGAATAATATAGTTGAACCAAAATTTATACATGAGTATCTCCGATTCCCGATCTGAAACCAGTGAAGAGACACATGGATCATAAGCTGGAGAGAGTTATAGATCAGATAGGAAGTGTCACACGCATCCACACACACATGCAAACTCACATGTGCATGTGCACAAATTCTACTTCGCAATTCTGTGTCACCCCGGCCCACTTTTTCAGGGATGGAAACACTACTTTGGGCACTCCCCCAAAAGGAAGCCTCTCAGTTCTGTCGCAGAAAATCCTAAATAGAGTGTTAACCATTTCTTTCACATTTTTGCATGAATCAGAAATTTAGTTAGCTTAACACGAACATTTTAGGAATTTCCACGCCCCTGCGAGAATTGAGCCAATCAGTCATTGCCCGTTAACGTGAACTAGCACACTAAGTAGCCGGAAGAGGCTCCCAGTGAATAATTTTTGAGTTTATGAAGAAGGACTAGTTCAGAGACCACGTTTAACAAATCTGTCCTGTACCTGAGGCTGGCCTCCTAATGTGCAAGATCCTCCGGGCTTACAAGGCCTGCGGGAGCTCTGGAGACTTCTCCCACAAAACGTATTAGGAAACCTCCCAATTCTTTCTCCCAAGGACAGCAATCTGAGCAACAGCGAGGTTCTAACAGGGAGATGGAGCAAGAAGGAACTAGGCAACTCAAAAAAAAAGAAAAAAAGTAAGTATGGGAATAAAAGTTATAAAAAGAAAAACAATGAAAAATTGCGAGGAAAGTACAAGAGGGCAAGGTCCGCCTTAGAAGAAACAAGTTATGACATGAAGAATTTTAGAGAGGGAAAAGCAGGTCAGTTTTTAAAAGACGTCACTAAAGGACACAGTTGCCTTAAACAAAAAACTCACAGGAGGTAAAAAAAAAAAAAAAAAAGATGTCAAAATTCAAAAAAGTTTTACATGGAAAAAAATCTTTATATTTTCACCCAACAAAAACTTAGATATTTGGGTAGCTTGGTTCTTTGAAGTCACGTAAATGTCCCTTCAAAAAACACCTTTTAATTTAAGGTGTTTTTATGCTGATGAATGGTATCTTTATGCAAACTAGTTAATAAATCTATTAATTATAGGAATTTGGGAACAATTTTTGTGTATTTATCATATATTTTATTTAATACCTTGACCTTCATCCAATAACTTGTGCTTCTTCATCGTTTCTCTTTCTGGTGACTCGTCACCTCTCTCACTGGAACCACTCATTTAAGCAATCACACCCTCTAACCACCATCGCCTTCCATCCTTCTGCTTAGCTTCTCAAGTGCCCACGCTCTCGCAATTTTACAATCTTTTCGAGCACCGTCAACTTTTTAATCACATCACCCACCTTGCGTGTTTACTTCCCACTTTATCCAGTATTGATTCCTGATCCATTGTTCTGATCCCTGTCTTGCAAACATCCCTGCATACTCAGTACTTGTCTGGCAAAACCCACTCAAACCCAGCAGTGCCACCGGATCGGATTACAAAGGGCACACCACTTTCTTAACTGCACAGATTTCAAACGGATGTTCGCTGTTACTGCCCAGCAATTTTACTCTCTCAAACGACAACTTCACACTTGTCTCTCTTCCTTCAAATCTCTTCATTTCCACCCTCTACTTTTATTCCTTCAGTCTCAGCTGATGACCTGGCCTCAGAATTGATTGAGAAAACAGAAGCAGTAGGACAGAAGCTCCCTCATTTCCCACCAATCTATGCCCCATGCTCTCTGCCTTCCTTCCCATTCTACTGTGTCCCTCCCTGCTTCTAACAAGACCAATCCGCCACTGCCCTGGCCTCTTTTTTTATATAGATCTTTCTTTATTTCCTTCAGTATAAACTTTTTTTTTTTAAATGTGCTGTGAATTCATCAGATATAACCATTTAGGATTGTTCATACTACCTCTACTAGTATGGACAAATAAATTTATAGGCATTATTTTGAATGTACGGTGTCTATTTCAATTAGCATAATTTTATTTAAAGAGTTGTTAGGTTGTCTGTGTTGGCATTTTCAGGTGTACTTTATGAGTCAAGCTTCTGAAGTATCATTTTGAGCCCTGTTCCTACTTTGCTAGCAGTTGGGTAGCCAATCTATCAGAATCCAAGATTCCACACATCCATAAGAGAAAGACATTACAACCTATCTTGGCCAAGTCCAAGAACCACACCATGCACAGCCAGTCCTTAAAATGGCACAGAAATGGCATCAAGAAACCTCAATCGCAAAGATATGACTCTCTTAAGGGGGTGGACCCCAAGTTCCTAGGAACTTGCATTTTGCAAAGAAGCACAACAAGAAGGGGCTGATAAAGATACAAGCCAACAATGCCAAGGCCAAGAGTGCATGTGCTGAGGCTATCAAGGCCCTCATAAAGCCCAGGGAGGTCAAGCCCAAGATCCCAAAGGGCGGCAGCTGCAAGCTCAGTAGACTTGCTTACAGGGCTCACCCCAAGCTTGAGAAATGTGCTCATGTAGTTATTGCCAAAGGTCTCAGGCTCTGCTGGTCAAAGTCCAAGGCCAAAGCCACAACTCAAACCAAGTCTCAGGCTGTGGATGCAGCTCCACCTCCAGCTCAGGCTCAGGCACCAGCTCCCCAAAGTGCCCAGGCCCCTACAAAGGCTCCAGAGCAGAAGTCTCTGTCTGCTGACACGAGGATAGAAGGACTGTATTGGGCTGGTGTTCTCCCGTGCTATTTGTACAAATAAACCTGAGGCAGAATCTGTCAAAAAACAAATAAATAAACAAAAAATCAAACAGCTTAAATAAAGTGGTCATTAAGCAAATGAAGACCTAGCCTGCTCTATGGAGTCTAATTTTTGGAAACACTTAATTCATTTTAGGGGGGGAAAATCTCAGTTAAGGTATTTATTTGTGTTTATCCAAACAAGCTGCAAGTACCAATTTGAAAATAGAAGGGTTTTTTCCTCAATAAGAGTACATTCTTTAATAGGGCTATATTTGAATAAGAATTCCACATAAATGGAATATAGAATACACACCTTAGCACAAGAAAGCAAGGAATATTTAACATTACAAAGACCAGACATTCAGTTGATTCAACCATGATGAGTTACCCTTCCAACCAAATACTTATTTTTTATATTTCATACAAATGTTGCAGTCAGTTCTGTATATGCTAACAATCATATGCAGTTCTAACATTCAGTCATGTGAAGCACACAACTATTTCCAAAAGGATATGTAATGCAGTCTTCATTTCAGAGGAGCAGAAGTGACTGAATCGCTGTCTGCTCTTTAACCTTCCATTAACCATTTCGTTGTCTCCTCAAGGCCGGTGCCTTTGGTTGCTGAAGTTTTGAGTATTTGCCATTTTCCGTCCTTCAAGACAAGTAACCCAAGTGAATGCGCCATCTCTGAGGGAGCAGTGTCCTGTTCCATGTCCTCCTTATTTGCAAACACCACAGAAATGACTTTTCTCGGTTCTTCTTCCTCCAACATGGCAATTCACTCTGATTTAGAAATGCCAGTTCAGTCTCAGTCAC